TTCGTGCACAGATACATAGAGCTTCAGTTTATACCATTCATTTTGAAATTAAATGAAAGTTAAACAAGTATTTATGATTGACATTTGTGTAACAAAGACACGAACCACGTGTGTTCAGATTAGCGTGTTCAGCAACCACTTGTGAATCTTCCAAATATCTTATCAACAGTATAAGAACTTTTCCAGTTCGTCATATTTACATCGATTTTTATTGTCGTTTATCTATACATAACAATTTATATAAAATCGTAGTTCTTAATTCGTTTTATTTACAATACTAATAATATGTTAGTGCTTCTTGACCTTTGTTTTTTGTGAAGACTTTTGCTTCGTGGCTTTGCCACCACAGCACTTGCTCCATACGAACCTCAACACAGCTTTGCTTATCAGAACGATAACCAAGAGTATCGCGGCCAGTAGTAGATACAAGTCAATGTTGTGGGTAGCAATATAGCCCATTTTGACTAGGGGACTCTGCATATGGGCAGCTCCGTGATGACGAAGCACATAGTTGACCCAGTAGATAACCGAATCGCGGGCCGACATAGGACGATCGCGATAAATCCTTGAGAACTGTTGAATCTTATTGGTGTAGGTGGGATTGCTCAGCAGCTCCTTGATTGCGTCCCTGAATTCGTTCACCTCTAGGGTCATCAAGTCGAGCCTCAAGCCATAACCCGATTCCACCAGCTTATCAGCATTTCCCGGCTGATCGGCGAACACTGGAAGAGCCAGCATGGGCTTGCCATGGTACTGGGACTCGGTGACGCCTCCTTTGCCTGCATGCGTGATGAAAAGCTTGATGTTGGGGTGGGCGAGAATGTCGTCCTGTGGCATCCACTTCTTAAAGAGAATATTTGCCGATTTGCCAGGCAACTTGTCCAGATCATCCCACTTCCAGATCACACGCTGCTTCAGCCCAGAGAGCACTTTGAATATCTTTTTGACTACCTGTGGATCAATGTGGTCGCCTTTCAGATTACTGCCCAGACTGAAGAGAATGGCGCCGTGCTTGGCCCCATCCAAAAACTCCTGAATATCCTCGGGCAGTGGATCCGGCTTATCCTTAATCTGTATGCCCCCAATCTCCACAAGCGCTGGAACATTGGGCCTAATGGGTCCCTCGCTTATACCGTGACTACTGCAAAAAGCCAGGGAAATGTTTTGCTTGGCCTGCTCATAGGTCATCATGGACGGAATATTACCCCATAAACGACTAGAAATTGATCAATTATGGATTTAATGTATATGAAAAGTAAACGAGATTCAAATACTTACTCATAAAACCTATTATTAAGTATCTCCAAGTAGAAGGCAAACAGACGGAAGAACATGGTGCCACCAAAATTGGCTAGACGCTCCTTAAAGTTCATCGCTCGGCCAGGAGCTACGGCTACATGCATGGATGGCACTGACGAAATCAATTCGGGATTGCCGATATTTCTGTCGATTTGCATCATCGGCGGCCCAGTCCAGGTCAGAATTATGGGACAATTGAAGAGGCTACCCAGTCCCACCTGATAGTTGTTGAAGAAGAAACCAACAATAACTGCGTCGAATTTGTTGTCTTTGTTCTTGTAGAGATCGGTGAATCGTTTGTCCTCCAGGACATCCACTTGCTTATAGATAAGCATAGCCAGCGAACCGAATATATTCCTGAACGTTGTATACACCGATGGCTTCTCCTTGGCCAAGACACTCATGCCATCATTCAACTCCTTCTCCTCGGCTGCACTCAGCGGGATAACGATGTGCTTGATGCTCTTGTGGGTCACTTTTGGAGGAGTGCCCGATACCACGGTCACATTGTGCCCATCCTCAGCCAAGGCCTTCATAATCGACATGTTGATTATGAAATGCGATGGACTGTGGCTGGTGAAGACGCCCAATATGTTGGCGCCCTCGACACTGGGCGATTGCAGCAAAAAGACTCCAAGCAGGAGGCACACAAATGTGCCGGACAGCAGCGATCGACCCATGTTGAAGTCTTTCGGACAATGCATTCGTTAACAAACTAAATAGTGTGCCTTGACTGCATTCATTTATATAAAGACCGGGGGCCGTCTGATAAGCCTCGATGCCTGCTGATAAGCGCTCTGGAATCGCCGGCCACGTTATTGTTTAGCGGTCCGCTCTGTAAATGTTATACATAAGTCGAAACACTTGATAAGGGAGGGCGAGATGTAATCAGCCTGATGAATACCCTACTTTAAAGTACAACATGTACTTGCACTTATGGGCAATACTAACTACCTTCTATTTATGCCTCGTTAGATATCGATAAATAGTGTCTTATATATTAATGAAATTGATTTTTGATTTTTGTTAATTTTGTGTAGTCATCATTTAAAACAATTATTGGCTCATTGGAATAGAAATTGCTCAATTTGTAATTTTATGGTGCATTTTAGCAGCTTGTGTGTGTTATCGATTCTTATCGATCTCAAGCAACCTAAAAAATGCATCGATAGACCCAGCTATATATTTTATTACAACTACATAAAAACGTATAGGACATGATCGTTATTTTTTAAACTTTAAAACGGTTTTGATAATATAAACAGTATATTTTATTTTTTAGACGAATTTCATTATTACTTGAATTTGTTTACCATTATTATCTAACCTGTTTTTCATCAAGACTCCTGAATAGCTTATCTGTTAAACAGATACGACTTCCATTACATTGGCTTGGTCAGCTTCAATATCAAACGAATGGTATATGATAATTATTTGAAATCTTACTTTTGCTGTTACATAAATAATCACTGCATCATAATACCCCATTTTGCAGACATTCTTTATTTGAGTGCAAGCCAGGGTATTAACGACAATCGGTTGCTAGCTACCTGTCCTGAATTGTGAAATGTAACCAATTGCTTAACGTTATCACATAAACATAAAATGCACACGTCATATTAAGAGAAATACTAGCGGAAAATTATGAAATTGTCGGCTCTCTTAATAGTAATGATTATATCTGACTCAGAGAGCGCAATGTCAACGGACTGCATTCCACTATTGATCTTTGATTAAAGAGCACGATAGGTTAATATTCTAAGTGGATTGTATATGCATACATATATCATTTATATGCATAACTTGCCCGGCACAAATATAGTTTTATATATAAACTGAGAGAAAAACAACAACTACAAATTGGCAATTAGGGAATTCGTATTTGAAAAACTAAATAAAAAACAAACCAGAATGAAAATCGCGTAAATTCGCGTTCGTTTTGCTCGTTTCGATGGCAACGGCGACACTGAGAGCTGTGCGAGAATCGCTTGAACAGATGCGAGTCACGCAGTTAATGGGGAAAAACTTGCACTGTACAAAAATGAAATCGCTTATTTACATGGATTGTAAACAATAATTGATATTGTCTCTATGGGTTCTCATACGTAACGTAATCACGTAAAATGCTTATCTCAGGAATAGTAGTAAATCTTGAAGTACAAAAAAAAAAACAATATTTAAGTGCTGCACTAACGTATATTTTACACAGACAGAAAATTTGCTATGAAGCTAAGCATTAAATATTAATTTATATTTATATAATTTATTTACATATTATTATATATTGGTATATTAATAAATATTTTATCAAGCTATTCTTGACAGTTTAATGAATTTATTGAATCCTTACAATATTGTTGATTTAATTTAATTTATATTATTTTTATTAATTTTTTTTTTTTAACACTTTTTTTTTATTTATTTATTTTTAGATTTAATTTTGTAAAAATTGATTTTCTTTTTATCAATTTAGCTTTAATATCTTATTTACTTTTAAATTTTAATAAAATATATTTTTTTTATTTATTTTAAAGTCTGAGTAAAATTAAAAACAAATTCTGTAGTGTTTTCTTTTTTATATATACTCGTATATATATATATATATTTTTTTTTAATTTTTAATGCCATTCAATACAATTTCATTTCTTAAAACAGAATATTATATATATATATATATATTATCATATATATGGAGTTTCTATGAAACGAATATTTTCTTACTAAGCCATTTGGTTCAGTGTAATTGTAAACTAAGAGCGGGAGAGGCAGCTGAATGGACAATCGGCGCCTATTAATAGTCAATACGAGTGTTGGCAACTTGTTGATACTTATATGGCGCTGCTTATATACACACGAGTATATTATATATACATATACATATAAATGATTATCTATATATATATATGTATGCGTATCTAAATGGCCAATTTGATGGTTGTCGCGACACGCGCCGTATGCGTAATGAGTGCAGTCGATTAATTCGGTTGGATTAACAAGATGTAGCTGCGTCTATTGTCTCTTGACCTTGTCTTTAGAGGGTGCGAGTGTTCGCAGTTGTTGCCAAATGCAGCGCAGCAACAGTTTTAAAAGAGTCAGAGAGACTGCAAGTAGGATCAGTAGGCAGGCGTAAACGTCGAGATTGTGTCGGGCGACAAAGGCCAGGTGCAGTGCAGGATTCTGCAGATGGTAGGCGCCCTTGTGCCTCAGCACGTACTCCGTCCAATAGACAACCGATTGGCGTGCGGTGAGTGGACGGTCGCGATAGAGAGCCGAAAAGCTGCGCACCCTCTCGCGATATGAGGCATTCTGCAGCACCTCGTTGAGGGTCTGCGCCAGCGAGGCCTCTGTGAGCGTGGTCCAGTCCACACTCAGGCCGAAGCCAGCGTAGACCATGTTGTCCGCATTGCCGTGCTGATCGCCGAAGATGGGCATTGCCACCATGGGCACGCCGTGGTACTGGGCCTCGGCAATGCCGCCCTTGCCGGCGTGTGTAATGAACAGCTTGGTGTTGGGATGGGCCAGGATGTCGTCCTGGGGCAGCCAGTTGTGATAGTAGATGTTCGAGGCATTGCCTGGGGTGTGCTGCAGATCGTCCCACTTCCAGATGACGCGCAGCGGCTGGCTGGAGAGGACCTTGAAGAAGGCCTCCATCACATTCGGGGTGAAGTAGCCGCTCTTGACATTGGTGCCCAGGCTGAAGAAGATGGCGCCTGCCTTGGCATTATCCAAGAACTCAGCCAGCTCGCTGGGCAACGGATCTGGCTGCTCCTTAATCTGCACGCCGCCAACTTCTATGGACTGGGGCACAGTGGGACGGACTGGACCCTCGCTGTGCGAGTGATAATTGTAGAAGAGCAGCGATATATTCCGCCTAGCGTCCCAGTAGCTGGGCATCTGCAGATCCGCTCCAAAGGCGCCGCTGAAGGAGAAACGAATTCAGTTCTGTTGCTCTATGTGGACTCTAGTGGACTGTCACTCACTTGTAATAGTTTTCCATGCGCCTATCCAAGATGAAGGCGATGGTTTTTAGGAATACCCAGGTGCAGTAGTTCTTCAGGCGCTGGCCAAAGTCCATGGCACGTTGGCTGCTAGCCACGCCCACTTTCAAGTTGGGCACATAGGCCGGATCGTAAATGTTGCCCACCTCGTCGTCGATGAACGTGAATGGCACGCCCACCCAGCTAATGACAGCGGGTATGCCCAGTTTGGCTGCCACGCCCAGCTGGTAATCATTGAACATGAAGCCGAGAAAGAGCAGATCGAATTTCGTTTGCGGCCGCTCGTAAATGGCCCGCACATTGGGATGCAATAGGAATTCATATTGACAGTCTAGCATGACGGCCGCTTTGATCAGCATTCTGTAGAAGATGCCGTTCATCGATGGCTTCTCCTTGGTCGAGCTCTCCATGAACTGATTGACCTCCGCCAAGGTCGCTTCGCTCATGGGCGCTAGGATCAGTGTAATGTTCTCATGCGGCACCAGCCTGGGCTTGATGGCCGAGACAATGGTCACGTTGTGTCCGCGATCGGCCAGGGCTCGCATCATCGCCATGTGCACCACCAAATGCGACGGACTGAACGTGCTGAAGAGGCCCAAGATGTTGGCGCCATCTATTGGCCGGCAGGGCAACACGAGCAGAATAATTGCGCAAGCAGCCAACTGAACTTTATCTCGGCTCATGATTGCCCGAGGACTTGATCTCAACTGAACGGACAGCG